TCTTTGAATAAAAGCTCCATTATTTTTCGAAATTCGCCCAGAATCAGAAAAGTAGTTGAACAATCGGATATGTATGCTAAAATTAATGATGCAATTTTGCTGCACTTTTTATTTTAAAATTTGTATGATAGAAAAATTTATTGGAATATCTCATCAAAAAATAATTAAACAACAGCCTGCTGAAATTTTTTAGATTTAGTTTTTATAATAATAATATAATAATTTAATTATTTTATATTATATCCTGAAAGAAAATTTATAAAACTTGAGATTCTCTAATTCATATTTAATTAAAATATGTATATCTATTTTTTTAGTCATTATTCTCTTATTTTTGTACGCTATACCAGATGACCAATTAAATATTACACCTTATTATTATTATTATTATTATTATTATTATTGACTATTATTATTAATTATTATTATTATTATTATTGTTATTATTATTTTAAAGTATACACTTATTATGATCAGATATTAACATCAAATCTGCTCCAGGATCCTCCGTCCGGTTAGTTGAAACCGATACTGGGTCGTAATCTCCCTGAGCTACATATCATGTGCGGAGTTTTTGTCCAGTATTCTGTCAGTGAAGTACAGGAAAAAGTTTTCCTGGTATGATCATCCAGGCTCCGATCTGGGATTCTCCCAGGACAGATCAGATGAAATAATATTGGCAAAAAGAGCCTCAAAGAGCAAATTCCGGTCCTGGAAACCTTACATTATCTCCGTTGCTAAATCAGGATGCCGAGGGACCGTAAAAGAGGAGGCAATTAATTTGAGTCGGAACCTAGTAATCTCAGTTGTACGATAACAAGTTATACAGTGGGGCGGAAATTTGATCTCGGCGGGGCGCAAACTCCAGAATCATTTCTCCTAAAGCTGAACATCCAAACTCATTTTTGAAGAGAGAGAAAATCAAAAAAAATCATCTTGAAATGTTTTTTGAACGAGAGAGTGAGTAGTACGAGAGCGAACCCAAGTTGGAAAAGTTTGATTTTATAGTCGGGAGCGAACTGCCCGGTCCGGTTCTGTTGAACTTCCCAGCTCACGAGATTGTATGTCGAATGTGAGTGAGAAGTGTTGTACGCTATGAAGGTTAGAGCACATTCCGCCTTTTCTCAATTTAGCATCATCCAGGTCAAGGACCAGATATTAATAAAGATCCCTTAGAGCTTATCATCGGGAAGTGATAATCCAACGATTACTTTGAAGTATGTAGCTTATTTCTCGTGTGCCTGCCCCAAATCTCTTGGGATTTCGACTCTAACCCTTTGTAGTTTATGCGTTTAAATTTTGTTCTGTATTTTCTGAATTAACGTTTCTGAGTGTTTCTTATCCGCAGGGTAAAACTTTTGAATATGTTTTTTCTTTGATAAAACTTTTCTAAGTAATAAGCCTTCAGATAAATACCTTTGAGCTTGAGTTGCACAAAAGTGAATTTATACCTGATTTGCTCTGGCTTAGAGAATTATTGACCGGGTATTTTTGATTCCGCTGAACCTTCAAGACCCTCGGTGGTTTATACTTGGCGCTAGCTCCAAGAGGTTCAGAAATAATGCTTAATAATTTTTGACAAAGTAGATCTTCGTTCGAGCTCTTATACATTTAATGTCAGAATTTGGAACAAAACAAATTTAAACAACTGGCTGAAGAGAATTTATCTATTTGACTAATACCCAAACACTAACTGATCTGAAATTATTCCATACTCATTAACTGGCAAAACAAGAGCTGGACATTGCTCTTCAAAGACTGAGAAATGTGAAATAAGAGTCTTGTGGTCATATATTATTGTTATGTCTGTATTGTTTAGAAACTTCAAATTATAATGTTATATGCGAGGGGAATGCACTACGTAGTGAGAATGATACATTGTTGCTAGATAGCTGTCTGTAAGGACGAATGCAATATTAAATTCGCTAGATTTAGTCAAGGTAAAAATTGCCTCCTTTCACTTGATATGATCTATCATAATTTGTTGTCTAAATCGTGGCTTAATAAACTCAAAGGCAGTTAGAACCGTGGAGAATAAACTGC